TCCGCTTTCGGAGCTGGATAGAGCCTGCTCAATAGAAGCATCCTCCTTGCCCTCGTACTGCATGACTGGCTCAAAAATGAGTGAGCAAAAGATGGCTGTGAATGACAGAATGTGATATTTCAGAACTATTTTGATCAAAATTAATGAACTGTACCCACCATAGAAACCTCTTGAGCGGAACTGCAGTTGGAAGTCGAACAAACTGGGTATCCGACCAGCATACTTCAACTTACTTAGGGCCTCCACCAGTCTATAGTAATAAAACTGAACCAATTCTGTTTGATGTTGCAAGCGAAGATTATCCTGTAAGGAGGTGGAGAAGAAGTAATGCAGATCGATGGCCGGCGAGTTCCAAACGCTGAACTGAAAGTCGATGAAAATTGCATTGGTGGGATGATCGTTTGCATCGTACTGGAACATAAAGTTGGTTGTCCAAAGATCTCCATGGGCTAGTGTCAAGAAGTCGCCGGGATTATTTGTCGTCGCCCTTTCGCCATAGTCCATCAACCGTTCCACAAGCCTATCGATCTTGGCCTTGTACCGCGGGCCCAGCTGCTCGTCCGAGGCAAGGGAGCGGGACAGAGCCTCCAGAAGATTGGTCATGATCGGTCCGTATGCCCGGGTGTGTTTGTTGAAAAAGCCACGATCATAGTTCTTGGCGAAGATTCCCGGCTGCCGCTCGGCGAGAACCGATGAAGCTGCATGAAAGAGGGCCAGTTTCTCCAGTACGAGGTGGGTGTGCTCCAGGTCCAGCTTTTTCCGGCGGCAGGCTAGCTTGTACTGATCCAGCGACATGTCCTCGAAGATAATCGAGTCCCTCTCGCGGTCCACATTCATGGTGGCCGCAAATAGCTTCCTGGGGTCCCTGAGCTCCTTCCTCACCATATCCGCCAGTTGGGGAAGGATGTGCTCGTATATGTCCATCTCACGGGTGTAGACTCCATAGTGGATGAGCACATCGCCGGCTGGATCCCGCTCAGCGAATGTGGTCTTCACCAGAAATGTGGTGTCCTGCTTTCCTTTCGATGCCTTGCTAGTATATTCCACATTGATGCGGGTCATCACGCTGCCGTAGTTTCCTCCATTGGCGACGGCTGGCTTCGTGTGCAACTTCTCCAGCTTCAGGGAGCTATCCTTGAAGTACGCGCGCAACTTATCCTGCACATATTCCGTGGTGAGCCAAACTGGCGCTGGATGAACTTTATGGGTGGATTTCGCGGACATGATCCTATCCACAACTCGGGGCTTTCGCTTCTGCGACATTGCGGACGCAGTCCGGCCACTTTTATAGCAAACTGTAGTGTATATGATAAGTATAGTGCAAGTATCTCGTGGCAACTAAGTGCGTCATGGTCAAACAACACTTGAACGATTTGGAGTCTAGTCGAACGCTCACGTTTTTTGCAATGCATTTTTGATTAGGTATTCTATGGGCATTTAATGTTACTGGTAACTCAAATTTCGCAGCCAATCGGTATACATATTTGATTTATTATATTTCCTAAGGAAGAGAAATGCAACTTAAGATTGTCTATTATCTGTTAACAAATATCGTAAAAGAGAAGTGCATTAATTTTGTTGTTTGCCTTGATAGTTTTCCCGAGAATTCCCCCTTATCATCTGCAGCTAATTTCAAAGTTAATATTTACAAAAACAATTAGAAAGCTATTTAATGCGGAATTTGTGCTGTGTTCATGGTTTTTACACATCTACGAATACCTGCAATTAGCACCTGTGAATTGTACATATACAAATAATAAAAGCAATAGAAGAGGAAGTAATCGAATTTTTTTGCTGATAATGTAACACTTCTTATATATTTTTATTTTGCGTGTCAACTTATTAAAGACAATAAAATTAAAGCTATAATACCCATACTACTATTTGGACTTTACATCTCGTCTAGTAACCCCAAGTGATCAAGGAAAGGCAATGTGAGACGCATCTTTTTCCTGGTGGCCTCCGCCTGAAATGCGTCATCCTTGAAGCGCATTCCCTTCTCCGAAAGAGATATTATCTGATCCATGGACGCCTCTTCCTTGCCCGTGTACGTCATCGTGGGCTCGAAGATCAGGGATGCGAAGGCAGCTGAATGATAATATCAATGAAATTCCGTAAAAAGGCATTTAGAAGTAGTATACCCACCATAGAAGGCCCTGTTCCTGAACTGCTGAAGGAAGACGAATAGGCTCGGCACATTTCCGGAATACTTCACCTTCCTCAAAGCAGCCTTCAGTTTGTAATAGTAGAACTGGACCAGCTCTGGCTGTTTCTTCAGCCGAATATCGGCCTGCAGTGCAGTTGAGAAGAAGTAGTGCAGATCGATGGCCGGGGAGTTCCAAGCACTGAACTGAAAGTCGATAAAGATGGCATTTATTGGATGTCCTTCGTCGTCGTATTGGAACATAATATTCGTGGTCCAGAGATCCCCGTGAGCCAGGGTCACAAAGTCCCCGGGAACAATGGACGTCGATCGTTCCCCGTACTCCATAACGTTGTCGACGAGTCGATCGATCTTCGCCTGGTAACGCTGACACAGTTCCGGCTCCAGCTCCAGGGAACGGGACAAGGCCATCAGAAGATTCTTCATGATGGGCTCGTAGCCGCGGGTGTGCTGATTAAAGAATCCACGATCGAAATTCTTCGCGAAGATTCCCGGCTGTCGCTCAGCCATGGCTGCTCCGGCAGCATGGAAATTGACCAGCTTTTCGAGCACCAGATGCGTGTGCTCCAGATCCAGTTTCTTGAGGCGATCGGCCACTCTGTAATTCTCCAGCGACATATCCTCGAAGATGATTGAGTCCCGTTGGCGATCCACGTAAACAGTGCCTGCAAAGAGTTTCCGGGAGTCCGCCAGCTCATTCCGCACCACATCCGCCATCTGGGGCAGGATGCGCTCATACAGCTCCAATTCCCTGTCGTACACTCCGTAACTCAGGAGAACCTGCGCCGCCGGACCAGCGTCGGCAAAACTCTCTTTCACCAGGAACCTGGTGCATTGCTTATCCTTTGGTTTATCCGTGGTGTACTCCACATAGATGCGCGTGATCACGCTGGAGTAGTTCTCCGCATTGCCGAGTGCCAGCTTGATGTCCAGGTTGTCCAGGCGGAGAGTGTCATTCTTGTAGTAGGAACGCAGCTTTTGCTCCACATAATCGCGGGTCAGCCAAGCGGGCACCACTTGTGTGCTTCTTTTGATTTCCTGGGACATGATACTGACCGGATCGCTGTTTGATCAATACTGCGGTTTTTTACCGGTGGGGTTCCGCAATTATACCTCGTCGATTGCCCAAGATAAGTACACATTTATTATTCAAGTCTTATCTATCATTCTATCTCACTTATCTGGCATTTCCCTTATCTTTCAGTTCAACTATTTGAATTAACTTTTAGAGAATCTCATTGAACTTATTACACACCAATTTTACTAGATAATTCCAAAACAAACGAATTGCCATATATAGCGAAACTATTTTGAGAGGATATTTGTTTATTAATTAATTTAATTAATTTATTTATTTATTGCGTGGAACATTGTCTTACATTTCGTCTAGTAATCCCAGTTGATCTAGGAACGGTAGAGTCAGGTGCAACTTCTTTTGGTTCGCCTCCGTCTGATACACTGCATCCCTTAATCGCACTCCTTTCTCATCGCTGGCTAAAAACTGCTCTATGGACGGCTCCTCCTTGCCATCATAGACCATGACGGGCTCGAATATCAACGACGCAAACACAGCTGGGTAAAATAATGAATTTAAAATGTTATAAAATTTCATATTTACTTTTGGAACTCACCATAAAAAGCTTTTGCGCGAAACTGTTGTTGGAACTCAAATAAACTGGGTACGTTACCCACATATTTCACCCTTCTTAGAGCCTCCACTAACTTATAGTAGTAAAACTGGACGAGCTCGGTCTGATGCTCCAGACGAAGATTTTCGTGGATTGAGGTTGAAAAGAAGTAGTGCAAGTCGATGGCCGGAGAATTCCAAACGCTGAACTGGAAGTCGATGAAGATGGCATTAACTGGATGACCTTCGTCATCGTACTGGAACATGACATTGGTAGTCCAAATATCTCCGTGAGCCAGAGTCACAAAATCGCCGGGTGCAAAAGACGTCGATCTCTCGCCGTAGTCCATTACATTATTAACTAGCCGGTCGATCTTCGCCTGATATCGCTCCTTTAGGTCATGACTTAACTCAAGAGTGCGCGACAAGGCTTTAAGGATATTTTTCATGATGGGTTCGTAGCCTCGTACATGTTGGTTGAAAAATCCACGATCGTAGTTCTTTTCAAAGATGCCGGGCTGACGCTCAGCCAGAGCTGCTCCAGCTGCGTGGAAGTCAGCCAGTTTCTCGAGAACCAGGTGAGTGTGCTCCAGATCCAGTTTCCTCACCCTGCAGGCAACCTTATACCTCTCCAGCGAAAGGTCCTCGAACATAATCGAGTCCCGCTCACGATCTACACTCACAGTAGCTGCAAACAACTTCCGGGAGTCGTGGAGCTCATCCCTCACTATATCCGCCAATCGGGGCAGTATCAGTTCGTACATGTCGATCTCCCTGGTGTAGATGCCGTAGTCGAACAACAAATGGGCCACCGGATCTTTGTCGGCAAAGGTCGTCTTCAGCAGAAAGGTTGCGAGCTGGTTATCCTTTGAGTCCCTGGCAGTGTACTCCACATTGATGCGGGTCATCACGCTGGCGTAGTTCTCTCCATTTGCTGTCGCCGGCTTGATCGCCAGTTTCTTCAGATTCAGGGTGTCATTCTTGCAGTAGACTCTTAACTTTTTCTCCACGTAGTCCTCGGTCAGCCACACGGGCGCCTTGTGGTTCGTTTTCTCTGGCATAATGTTGAGGTTCTACTAGTTTTCGTCAGAAGTGCATTGCTTTTATACACTGACGAGATGCTTGTGATAAGAACTCATCTTCATGATTAGGCGACTGTGAGCGTAAGCTCCTAAATTGCAGGCAATTGCAAAGATAGGCGACAGCACATCCGAGAACATTTATTAAGATAGAGCTTTGGACTGCGTAAAAGTAGTAAAAAGTATCAGTGTAAAAGTACTACCACGATCATAGGATAGCGACTGTTGTTGAACTAGACGTTAGGCTAACTTATAAGAGCAAAGAAAACATTACATATCGTCCAGCAAAGAAAACATTACATATCGTCCAGCAATCCCTGCTGATCAAGGAACGGCAGAGTGAGGACCATTTTTTCTCGGATGTGATCAGCATGATACACAGAATCTCTGAACCGGACTCCACTCTCGGCTGTGGACAATCCTTGTGCAATGGACGCTTCCTCAGTTCCGGTATACAGCATGCAGGGCTCGGAAATTAGCGAGCAGAAAACAGCTAAAAGGTTTGTTTAATTACAATATATTTTCATTATAACTTGTATACTTACCATAGAAGGATCTGGCCCTAAACTGCAGCTGAAATTCAAATAAACTCGGAATATGAGGAGAATACTGTAGTTTCTTCAAGGCTTCCACCAGCTGGTAGTAATAAAACTGGACCAATTCAGTCTGATGTTTCCAGCGAAGATTGTCCTGAATCGAAGTGGTGAAGAAATAGTGCAAATCGATGGCCGGAGAGTTCCACACACTGAACTGAAAATCAATTAGGACGGCGTTGGAGGGATGACCCTTTTCATCGTACTGAAACATCACATTTGTTGTCCAAAGATCTCCATGGGCTAGGGTTAGGAAATCTCCTGGAATTGTCGACGTCGATCGGTCGCCGTAATCCATTATATTATCTACTAGGCGGTCTATCTTGCTCTGATAACGATGTTTTAAATCTGAATTCAACTCTAAGGAGCGAGATAGGGCCTGCAAAAGGTTCCTGAAGATTGGCTGAAAGCCTCGAACATGTTTATTAAAAAAACCTCGATCGTAGTTCTTCTCAAAGATTCCGGGCTTTCGCTCGGCAAGAACTGCTGCAGCTGCATGGAAGTCTGCCAGTTTCTCCAGAACCAGATGTGTATGCTTCAAGTCCAGTTTTTTTAGGCGGCAAGCGACCTTGTAATCCTCCAGCGACAGGTCCTCAAAAAGGATAGAGTCCCGCTCGCGATCTACATCGACGGTAGCTGCAAACATCTTCCGGGAATCCCCGAGCTCGCTTCTCACCATTTTCGCCAGGTGGGGCAGAATCTGCTGGTACATGTCCATTTCTCTGGTGGAAACCCCGTAGCCGGCCAGTAAATTGGCCGCCGGATCCTTGGCGGCAAAGGTTGTTTTTAGTAGGAAAGTGGCGCTCTGAGGGTCCTTTGAATACTTTGTGGTGTACTCCAGATTGATGCGAGTTATTACACTGGCGTAGTTATCTCCTTTGGCAGTCGCCGGCTCAGTCTCTAGTTTCTTCAACTGAAGAGAGTCGTCTTCAAAATATCTGCATAACTTATCCCCCACATAGTCCTTTGTGAGCCATTCAGGTTCGGTATGGGTATTTTTTCCAGACATTATGAATCCTAACGTTAGCGCTTTAGTTTAAGCAGTGAAGCCATTATGTGAGGTTTTCCGCCGTTTTATCATCTTCATTACAACTAACTACACTATAACTTACTAATCCTTCTGGCAATGGCCCCCAATAAAATCGTAAAGTGCATTTTATTCAGAGTGCTAGCTTTCTTCCCACTTATGCAATGTAAACATTTAATCTTGGGTACACCTTTACAAATCATGCAGCAACCCCCACTGATCAAGATAGGGAAGTGTATGGTGGAGCCTTAGTCTGACGCACTCCTGCTGATACACGTCGTCCTTGAATCTCATTCCTCCCTTGCCCTCCGAAATGATGTGCTTCAGGGCAGCCTCCTCTTCTCCATCATACACCATAAAGGGTTCAACTAATGGCGACTTTTATTTACCTAGGGATTACACTAGATAAAGAAATAATCCTATTCTTTCGCATAAAAACTGGTTAATGGGAGCGACCAAATTACCAAACATGGACACAAAAATGTAATAACGCAATTTAAGCAATGCCTTGATAAAATGTTTTTATTTTAAATTACATATCACTATTTTTATTTAAACAATAGATTAACGTGATCTAGAAGTCCCAGCCAGCATATTCCTTAACCACATCCTTGTTTTCCTTGCGATGACGATGCACAGCACTAGCTTCTCCCTTGGCCACGCACTTCTTACGCTGCTCCCGCTTCTCCTTGATGTCCATGTTCCGGCGTATCCGGTCGGTAATCACAGACGGAGCTATTGTGCTGGTTGTGGTAGAGTAAGAGCGCTGACTTCTCGCATCATTAAGCATTTGCTCGACCATTTTAAGACGAAACATGCGGGAGTTGGGATCCAGGTCAACCAGCTCAGGAACTTCATCCTTATCTAAATCATTGGAATTGATCGACCTTGCGTCTTCCTCAGCGATAATTGCTACCGGAGCTTCAGCTTCAACTGGAATAACTTCCGGAGTTTTAACCGGCAGAGAAATATCTAACTTCTTGGGCATTGTTTGGTCGGGAACTTCTGGACCCACGCTGAGATTACCCAGATATTGCGTACACGATTCAATGTATCGACGCACTGCGTCATCCGACTTTTGAGTGGGCTTGGCTTCGCTATAAATGACCTCGTTCTCCACCTGGCGTCGGCACTCGTCAATCTCTTTAGCTGCTGCGGTTACCAAAGTGGGAGGCTCTTCCTCCTCTTCCAACTCCTCTCCCTCATTCTGCTCCTCTGCCTGCTCCACCATGCCGTACTCCTCAAGAAGATCCTGTTCCATCTCCTTAGTGAAGCCGTAGCCTGTGCAGTGTACCTCGGCATCCAAATCATCCTCACGCACCAGGTCGCTGAACTTGGGATAGTCTTCGCTTTCGTAACCAAATTTGCGACGGAACATTTCACGCACGCAGTTTACATCGCGTTCGAAGAAACTAGAACATATTTTGCTATTAATACTTGAATGCTATAATAACTAAGAAGCTTACAATTCTGCATTCTCATGCGAGGTGGACATCATTTGAGGGAAATCAATCAGTATGGGCTTCCCTGCGTCCGTCACCATTAAATTAAACTCATTAAAATCGCCATGAATAACTCCAGAATTACCCAGACGGACAATTAGGTTCATTAGATCATCGTAAACCTGTGGAGCGTCTAGAAGTTCGTGTACTTGGGTCCTTAAAAAAAGGTATTTAAAAATATGCATGATAATAAAAATAACTATCTTACATGGGCCAGCCATTGACGAGGTCCATTAAGACACAGTGACGATTGAAATCGATGGGTTTTGGCACCGGAAATCCTCGATCGTAGAGTGCCGACATGTAGGCAAACTCACGGGTGGCCGAGATGCGAGATAAGTACAACCAGGAGGCCTTGTGCCGGCGACCGTGGTAGTCTCTTTTAGCTTTCACATTCCTGAAGCAAGTTCGACCCAATCGGTGTAGTTTAAGGCAAATTGGAGTGCCCTCCTCATCAGCCACCACGTAGATGTTGGACTCCTTGCCAATTCCAATCTGGTTGCCAAAAGAACTGACCGATCCACGCAGTGTGAGAGACTTCAGAGCCAAGTAATCGTAGCCCGTGTTTGTCAAGCGGTAGCCATCATCTGTGGGCCAAAAATGTTATTGGCTAAAGATACTTTAATCTGCAGGCGTACATACATTTCTTTCCCCGCTCGTAGGCCAACAGCTTGTGCTTGCACAGCTCCTTGAGCAGCTTGTGGACTCCACCTGACTTCAGATTCGCAATGGCAGCAGCCAAAGGCCCGGGGACCAGCTCGTGGTTCTTCATGCCCATCTCGATGGCGGTGAGGACGCGGAAGTCCTCCTTGGTGAGGTATCTCAGAACTGTCACGTTTAATTTACCCATTTTCGTTATATTTCGGCAGTTTAACAACGCATTTAGCAATGTTTTCGTTTCACACGTGTAGGCACGATAAGTGAGCGGAAATCGATATGCATCGATTGTAGCAGGACTATCGATTATATTTGTATTATTTTCCAGCTATCGAACACTGCAGTGCAACTGGTGTTTTATATCCCGGTCCCAAACGGTCACACTGACTTGCACATCGTCATCAGTGAGAGACAAAAACGGGGACATGGCTGGAGATGATCTGATTGCGAAATTCCAGGCGCTCGGCATGAGCGAGCAGAAAGCGAAGGAGACATTGAAGAATGCCAACGTGACAAAGAACCTCCAGCTGGCGTTGGCGGCGGCAGGTAGCGCCACCCTCTCCGACGGCACTGGCATGCTGATCTACCACATGGCCACCAAGCTGAAGCCGCAGACTGCGGACCATTTGCCTCTTCTGGTGCGCTACGTCGTAGAGCACAAGCTGGACAACACTCAGCGCGTTGATGCCGCCCTGGAGTACTTGCTGAAGTGCGGCCAGAGCCTGAATGCCAACATTGATTTGCAGGCCCTTGAGAAGGAGTGTGGCGTGGGAGTGGTGGTCACTCCGGAGCAGATTGAGCGCACTGTGCAGGCCAAAATCAAGGCCAGCTACAAGGAGGCATTGCTGGAGCAGCGCTACCACTTTAACTCGTTCAAAATTCTGCAGGATGTCCGGGGAGAGCTCAAGTGGGCGGATGCCAAATCCGTGAAGGCTGCCATCGATGTGGAGATCTTCGATCTGTTGGGTCCCAAAACAGAAGCAGACTTGAAACCTCCCACAAAAGCAACCGAAAAGCCAAAGGCTGCAAAGCCAAAAGCGGAAGTAACTTCTGCCGCTCAAACCGCTGAAGCAGCTTCCGATGGAGCCACCACCATTTCGGAACTCATGAAAACCAAGGTACACTTCCATGCCCCCGGCGAGAATTTTAAGGCAGATGGCTATGTTGTTACCGAACACACGGAGCGGCTACTAAAGGAGCACTTGACGAGGACTGGAGGCAAAGTGCATACGCGTTTCCCGCCGGAACCGAATGGCATTCTGCACATCGGTCATGCAAAGGCCATCAACATTAACTTTGGGTACGCGGCTGCCCACGATGGAGTTTGTTACTTGCGCTATGACGACACCAATCCCGAGAAGGAGGAGGAGAAGTTCTTTTTGGCCATCAAGGAGATGGTGGAATGGCTGGGCTACAAGCCCTTCAAGATCACCTACTCCTCGGACAACTTCCAGCAGCTGTACGAGTGGGCTGTTCTGCTGATCAACAAAGGATTGGCCTACGTGTGTCACCAGAAGGCGGAGGAACTGAAGGGCTTCAATCCGAAGCCCAGTCCTTGGAGGGAGCGTCCCATTGAGGAGTCACTGCGGCTGTTCGAAGACATGAAGCGTGGAAAGATCGACGAAGGAGCGGCCACCTTGCGCATGAAGGTCACCCTGGAGGAGGGCAAGATGGACCCGGTGGCGTATCGCATCAAGTTTATCTCTCATCACCGAACGGGCTCTGACTGGTGCATTTACCCCACTTACGATTATACCCACTGCCTTTGCGACTCTCTCGAGGATATTACTCACTCACTGTGCACCAAGGAGTTCCAGTCAAGGCGGTCCTCCTACTACTGGCTGTGCAACGCTTTGAATATCTACTGCCCGGTGCAGTGGGAGTACGGCAGGCTGAACATGAACTACGCACTTGTATCAAAGCGCAAGATTGCAAAGCTGATCACAGAGCAGATTGTCCACGACTGGGACGATCCCAGGCTTTTTACTCTTACGGCGCTGAGACGTAGAGGCTTCCCAGCAGAGGCCATCAACAACTTCTGCGCCCAGATGGGCGTAACAGGTGCCCAGATTGCAGTCGACCCCGCCATGTTGGAGGCAGCAGTGCGGGATGTTCTCAATGTTACAGCTCCCCGTCGTTTGGTTGTCTTGGAACCGCTCAAAGTAACCATAAAGAACTTCCCTCATGCAGCGCCCGTGCAGCTGGAAGTGCCTGATTTCCCGCAGAACCCCCAGCAAGGATCTCATAAGATCACCCTGGACAAGGTGATCTATATTGAGGCGGGAGACTTCAAGTTGGAGCCGGAGAAGGGATACCGACGTCTGGCACCCAAGCAATCTGTGGGTCTGCGTCACGCAGGTCTCGTAATCAGTGTCGATGAGATAGTTAAGGATCCGGCGACCGGAGAGGTGGTGGAACTCTTCTGCACCAGCCAATCTGCCGAGCAGGCCGAGAAGCCCAAGGCTTTTGTCCAGTGGGTATCGCAGCCGATACAGCTGGAAGTGCGTCTGTACGAACAGCTCTTCAAGCACAAGAATCCCGAGGATCCCAACGAAGTGCCCGGTGGCTTCCTGAGCGACATCAGCGAACAGTCCATGTCGGTGGTGGTGGCACTCGCGGATCGTGCGCTTAACCAGGCCAAGGTCTACGACAAGTTCCAGTTCGAGAGGATTGGTTTCTTCTCCGTAGATCCAGACACCAGCGCGAACCATCTAGTGTTCAACCGCACCGTAGGACTGAAGGAGGATGCGGGCAAGAAGTGATAAGCACACGATTTCGGGAACCAACAGAGAAAATGAGACAAGATCCGAATCACATTAAAAT